ATGTGTTGACAAATGTAAGGTATTAATTAACGATGTGGTAATGAGGACGCCTTACGGAATGGTATCGGCAATCTGCTTATTAACTCAATGACGGGGAGAACATCATTGATTTTTGCATTTACGATATCATTGAATCCGTCGAAAGAGGTGTGCAGCCGTCGTTGCCATCATTCGGGAAATTTAAAAGCTTAGAAAGAGAAGAGGTACACGGACATTGCTTGATGAGAGAATTACAGGATATTTCACCTGTCCCATTATCTTGTCATGGCTGTGCCACTACCGATTGACCATTCCCACTTTTGCACTGTTGCAAATTCACCCAGACGGCACCAGTCAGCCACGAACTTGATTACACACTCATTTGACATGCGCAACTTGGATGAGATATCTAATAACTGATGGTGCATCACTGTCTATGGATTTTGCTGTCTGTGCGGGTGTCAGAGTAGCTTAATTGGGCTGCATTCAACGCTGTGGTCCTACCGTGGTTTGAGACTGCATCCTGGGACCCCTAACCCATCCACTTCTGTTTGTTTTCTCATTGCAATTGCATCCTCTGAAGTTCACGACGAGCAATCTAATGATATCCCAAACACAGTTTCTTCTTATCACCGAAATATCCAAGTGTTCTCCAAAGAATCACATAAAATATTGATTTTGTGCCGCACTGGTAATTGCCATATGGGGTGTGTGTGACTATGACAAAGCAGCCACGTCGAGTGGCACATTCAAAGCCAACTCAAAGAAATGAAAATGGTTCCGGGTGGTTGTGCATATCACAAGTCATGCACAAGGCATCTTCTAGCATTTGCAGTATTCCACCCAGACTGTACCAATCAGTTACTAAATTTAATACACACGTAGCTGATATATACAACTTGGTTGAGCTTTCTTCTCAATGATAGTGCTTCGTCGTCTCTGTCCTTTAGTTTCTATGCAGGGATCACAGTAGCGTAATCGATCTAGCTTCAAAGCTGTGGTAGTTGATATTTAGTGGGTGTAACTACCACAGTTGGATGTGATATCTAACATTACGTGCAGTGGTTCTCTATACAAACTGACTCACAAGTTGAAATGTTGGCTATTCACATCACGCATAAATCGAGGTAAAATTGATTCTCTTTAGCCCTTTCGTAATGCAGGCAATTGTTTAAGCAGCAAACATATGGTCAGGCAAGAGGGCTTGAATTGTCACACAAGGAAACGATAACACTCTCTTTCTCTTTGGTTATGCCAAGTGGCACTTTAGGATGAACTCAAACAGTGTTGCATCTTGTCTGGATTTTACATAGACGAGAAGAAATTGTTATATATTCCCTGAACCAGTAAAAGCACGAACAGACAGCAAGGACTAATAAAAAATTAATAAACAATTGAAAATCGAAAGTTAGATGGCCTTCAAAAGCGCCTAAGGCAGCATTGCAAGATGCTGAACAGAAGGCATGAAACTGTCAATCGCTCAAACATTTCGAGAATTGGCCTCTCTGATTCTCTGAATTGACCGCTTATGTGCTTGCACCATGATGATGCAGCGCCTGTTTGCAACAGTCGATTTTTTGTCTTTGAAATGATTTACTGATTTTAATGATTTTTATTCGATAAATCTCTCACGCTGTGAAACATGTTTTGCGGATGAACCACATGCTAGCCCAATTTCACAAGCGGCAAAAGTTTGGCTTTTCACTTAACAGACCTTTAAATTTGTAGATTTACGTATCATGATTGCTGCAATATCTAATGTCCAAAAAACTTCGGCAATGTAGACAATTGAAAATTATTCAACACATTTAAGCGTACACCTGGATATTGACTAGAGCATGGAGGTAACGATTGATCTGTGGTTTCCACGACATTCGCTGCGGGATTCGCGTGACTTAAACTATGCAGCCACGCCTTAGGTCACTTGTTCATCTGTGGCGAAAGAATGCAGTAGTCGATGTGGTGTAGCATTAAGGGTCATTGGGGTGAAGGGCATCACTACTGATGTTTTGCTTGAGCAACAAAGATTCATTAAATGAAGCTACTTCTACTGGCTCACCTGCTATTAGGTTACATTAAATCACCGCCTATTAAGTGAAGGTACATCGCCAGCAGCAAACAAACCGATGACTTCTCACAGAGGGAGACTATGAATCACTGAATTGACCGCTTATGTGCCTGCAGCATGATAACACAGAGCTTGTTTGCATCAGTCAGCTCGTTATCTTAGAAATGATTCACCAGTTGCAGTTTATGGTTATTCTCTCACCCTGGGAAATATGTTCCACGTCCAAGTCAAAACAATCTTCAACAACCCCCGTACGGGGTGTTACCCTCAGCTGACCTCTCTCAGTGCAAATATAATCTTTGCCCCACACACTAGCACAATTTTGCAAGTCGCAGCAATTTCGACTGTTCACCTTGTAGCGGATTAACAGTGATCGCGCCTGAGTGAACCCCGTTTATTGACAAGACGGTGACAATGACTCATCCCCTTTTCATTTGTTACTGTTATCAGTCGACTGTCATCCGATCATTCATCCACACATTAAGACACACACTTGGCTGACGTGACCCCGATAAACGGTAGTGTTCTCAGTCGCCTCTTGTTCCATTCTTCTCGGGTTGTTACGGACTATTTACTAGAGGGCTGCAAGGTAGTGCTAAAACTCTAGCTTCTACAAGCTCTCTGCACGAGGTCTGTCTTACCAGGTTTTAGCTTGGGTAAACGTTGACACAGGTGAGATGGATGATTATGAACTGGCAAAAATCGAGTGGCTGAAAGAAATGCTGGTTGATTGTGAGTGTCTTCAACTCGTCAATTGACAGTCTTCCGAGGAGTATCGTGGGATTTGCAGATGATCCGAAACACGGAATACTGTTCTACTTCTTTTGTGAGCTTAACGAAAGCCTGTTCCAGAACGACATTGGTCACAGGATGGTGCATGGAAGGTCAGACTCCTTGCTTACAAACTACAACCGATGAAGCTGTACAGGTACCGTGGTTCAATCCTCCCTGACACCCTTAAGTGACCGCCTTCAACGCATATTCACAGAACGCTCTTCTCTGTGCGGTGTCAGTTATCGCTTTCTCAAGTTCTTAATAGGTTCAATTTGACGTGGAACATTTTGATTCAGCTTTCGCCTCGATAAACCTCAGTTAGATGATGCCGTGAAATGAATGAGTGACAGCAATGTTGACTTCTCCTGGAATGATTTCACATTTATCCAAAATCCCAAAATGTAAACTTTGCGGCATTTATGTCCATTGTTTTAACCGAAATGGCGGTTTGCAGCATATTTCAGTGCCTGAAATCAACATAGAAACACTTATCTGCAATGACGCATGCATCTCAGCATGTTATCATCGGTGTTGATTAATGCACGGCATCAACGGTGACATTCTTCATCTCAACAACCCCTAAAATTAACCCAGAAGAAATGCTTTATTCCTGGGTGTTAGATATAAAATTGGAACTTCGCGTGTCGCCTTGAATGAGTCGCCCTCGATATTGAAGACGAAAATCGAAGTGTCATCGAAAGGTTTGGTCAACCTCCACGATGAAGTCCAACATGCGCACGATAATTATCGAATTGAAGCATTCACGTTTGCTTAAGCTTAATACATAGCAGACGCCTAATATGTGCACAATGCGAAACAATATGCGCTACAAATGCGCCTAGTTAGACATATTCGAACAGCTGGCAAAATCAAGGTTGTTGGTAACAAAAATAAAAGCAAATGTATCAAGAATTCTAAATATGAAGTCTTGAGCATAAGCGTTTAGCATAAATGCTAGGATCGAATGGGTTCCCGTCATGAGGCGCTGCCGCGATTTCAGCCATGACTCGTTGGAAATACCATTGCTCCAACTCATCATATGCCTCTGGTTGATAGTCTGCCTGGAATGTGTTGGCGAACATGTGTGGCACACTCCTCAATAACGCCACATGATCCTTTCCAAGAATGCAAACGTCGCGAACGTATTTAGTAGAACAGCTTGTATTGGAGCCTTCCAAAATGACAAACCTTCCCAAGAAGTTGCAACCTACTTCCGATTGAGGTGATGGACCATACAGACAAGCGCCGGACAGACGCAGCTGACTGTTATAGGCGAGCGTGGGGAAAAACAGCTCGTCTGGATGCATGATATTATTGGGCTGCAGCATGGCCTCACGAAGAGGACTGACAGCTCTTCCCAAGACTGCCTCCTGCAGAAATTCCCGTCGGTAGGCACCATACATTGAGCCTTTGTACCATGATGCCTGCAATATTAAGGAAAGCCTGTGATTGCCAGTAAGACACACTTGAAAATTTAAGGTGTGATAGGCAGTGATGCATCATGTCCAAATTTACAATGTATTGCACAAGCGAAATCGTCGATTGCCTGTTTCGTTTCACGTATTCCAACATACTGGCAACCACAGAGCATGGTCAATAAGCTGGTATCATATGTCGCCTATACAACCACATGCAAGCAAAGAATTCATCAGTTATTCAACAAAGCGATGCGGATGCTAATAAGGATTAGGTCTCTTCAATCACTATGTTTAACGTCGACGTACGTCTCAATTGGTTCAGGTAGAGGCCGTCATGGTCCGCAAAGCATTTCGAACATTGCCGTTCAAGCCTAAGACGCCACAATATACCGCTCATGTGCGTTGATTACTGAGCAAAATGTTAGTGGAAGCAAAATGCTTAAGTCGGGCACTCACTCCTTGAGGCAACAGCTTGTTATTCTTCCACCTCGTAAACTTATTCAGCTTATACGATTCAACGAGGTTGGATCCATTGAGTGCCTTCAGTGCAGCCACCAGTTCCATGTTGGTTCGCAGTGGGAAATCCTGGTCCACCAAATTAATCAAGTACTTCCACGTGGCATGATGACTCAGAGCCTGTTTCGCACAGATGACCTGCGGTAGCAGGGCACTTTCGTCACCCCTATCCATCGCAGTTCTCTCTTCTTCTGGAACCAATTCCACATTGGCACCAAAACACGTAACCACTCCACGCATAGCCAATTGGAATTCGATGCTTGAGCGCTTGTCGATGTGAATGCAGTAATAGTTGTTAATTCGATAGATCATTCGAAGGAGTCGAGCAATCTGACGAATGTCATCGTGGACCACCAACGTGAATGCTATGTCCATATCAGCCTGGGGGTCGACTGCGATGGGGAAGACCTGCCGAAACTGGCGGCAGTATGGGTGAGCAGGAGAAATGATTTGGGCGAAGTCTTCCATCGTCTCCGGTGTAAATGGAACAATTGGTTGGAGTCTTCCATGTTCAAAGTAAGGTGCTCTAAGAAACAGCAGTACTCCGATTGTCAACATTGTGAGTAGTATGCAAATTCGCTGGCGACGGACACGTCGGTAAAAGAACTGGGTATCTGGAATAGTGATCACACATGACGTTGGTACTTAAACGTTGGTAGTAAATGGTCTTATATCGGTTCTGATACCAAGTGAAATAACTGCATCAATGGCGCCTCAAGCATGAATTCGTGAAAATAAACGTACGCGATTACAGGTAAGGAGCGTAAACGTAATACATGTAAGGGGAAATTCGAAGGGAATAATGAATCCAACGAAGAGGGTTTGAGGTGATGACGCAGTCGAGGGAACAGCAGATGAACCAGTCTGCGCTCGCTGGAAGGCGGCGTGCTGTGCAATGCTATTACTGCTCCTCAACAACAGGCATGACATTTGAGCACGGTAGAATTGCACTAGTAATTAGTTTTCTGTCTTATTTTGCTTAAACTTCCTGACAACCGAACACATTATTTGTATTAACGCGGAAGTAGATTAATGGAAAGAGACTTCCTGCTCAGCCCAAGCCCTCTGAAGCCTGCTCTGCCTCATCACAACGAAGTAGGAGGCAATATTGCAGATGAAGTAAGTTTTGATGTAGAATCTGTGGTTGGTTCTGTTCCTCTCATGCAATTAGAACGAGATTATAATTGCACTTGTTCCCGTATTGTCCCCCGTCATTAAACGGTCCCACTTTGTTAAAGTGTCAGCGTTACTTTTGATGCATAAAAGGTGCGATAAATTGACAATTTTGAACAATAAATACCAAGTTGCCGGAATTAGCGTGCTTTAGAGCAATTCACATCAACTGACGAATGTTTCATTATTTAACGTATTATTTGGCGATATCAGGAATCATTGTACGAAGAGGCTCTCGTAAACGGACACTGGGACATAAATCGGGAATGTCATGTGTCAAATGGAGTAAGGTGAAGCTTGAGACAGCCGACCTATTCGCATGATGAGTAACAGCTTCTTGATACACTCGTTATAATTTACATCGCAAGCAACATCACGAAGACGCACATTCAGACCATTCTAATCCGCCAGCTATTCTACTGATTTTGCACCAATACAATGTTGGGTGTGAATTGGCACACCATATCAGTGTCTATGTTTTAATCACAGTGAACAACTGTGCGTTGCAAGTTTCAATTGGTGTATACTGCGGTGACGTGGATGCATGT